CTGTAAGTTACTTTTACAGGCTCCACCATAAATGATGGAACCTTAATCCAATTTCGAGCGGATGATGTTGAGATATTTGATATGTGGCAAGAGTGTCAGGTGGCGTCCGATAATAAACCCCAAGAACTTGGTCTCCTCAACAACTTTGATGGGTGTGTCAGATCGAAATAGTTCTTGGTCTTTGTGCTGTCTATATTTTTCTGCAGAAGTGTATAGTATAGTTGTTGTTTTAGAAAATTTGAAGCCGTTGGCAAGCAACCATTTGGGGATTTTATTGAGACACAATTCCAGTTGTCTCTCAATAGTGTGCATGTTTTTACTGCGACAAGAAATGTTAAAATCGTCCCCAAACTCCATCAACTGAATCATTCAAAACCTTTGAGATACTGATATCTTGGTACTAAATAGGGTAACAGACAAAATATTGCCTTGTGGGATACCCTGAACCTGATTATAATGGTCAGACAGGGTTGAACTCACTCGGACTTTAAATTGCCCGGCTGATAAAAACTGTGATATAAAATTAGGTAAACGGCCTCTTAAACCAAAATCATGTAAATCATTTAGAATACCATGCTTCCAAGTAGTATCATATACTTTCTCCAGATCGAAAAAGACTTTCGTTACATGTTGTTTGTTTTCAGTGGCATAAACAAAGGATTCGAATCGTACTAAATGACCGATAGTACTTCGATTTTTTCGGCAACCACATTGAATATTTGTTATTAGATTATTGGTTCCCAGATACCAAACTAATCTATTATTCATTCTATTATGCTGGCTTTAATCGCTTCCACAGGTCATCATGGACAGACCATTCAACTTCGTCAAATAGGTTTGTGAGAGATAAATCAAGTGATGAATACGTTCGAGTGGCAGGATGTAAATAGGTGGTTAAATCAAAATCGTAAATTCATAAATTATTGTCAGAAATGAATTCCTCAAGTACCTTCCCTTTATTGTTGGTGTTCACACTTCTCCATAGAGGGTTGTGCCCATTCGGATCGCCCATGATTATGCATGGTTTAGGGAGCTGATCAAATAGATTTTGAAGATCAGATTGTCGAAGTGTAGAGAACGGAGAAATGTATAATGAGCACAGAGTAAATACTACGTGCAAAGTTAAACAAGCAGCAACATCATGCAGATCACACGATCCTGTTAGCCGCCTCTTACGACAAGCATAGTCACCTTTTACGGCCAACATGGGTTGCTGAAGATCTATTCTAACCTGGATCGATAGGCTGATGAACTTGTCTGTTAAGGTGGTGGCAAATGTGTGTCATCAAGTGTGACCTGTGTATCTGTTACCCAAGATATGACTGTTTGAAATTAAATTGATTGTTTTGTAACCTTGAGAGCAGTTGGACCAAGAGAACATGAAGAGGAACATAAGTAATTGCAGCAGAGTTTGTGACAGTAGGATTTTGAGAATGAATGGGGACTATTTATTTTGCTTCAGAAAAAGAAATAGTGTTTGCGTATTTAATTTTGAGGATTTTTTATTGATGTTCAAATTTTGGGCAGGAAATGCTGTTCATCACAGTTGGCACACTTGATCTCATTAGTGCACTCAGGCCTCTCATGAGCCCCACTGCAACGAATGCATGCACTATTGTGAGTGCAGGTCTTGCCACCATGTCCAAACTGGTGGCATTTAAAACATCAAAGTGGGTTAGGTATATATAATTCCACACTGATGTTAAAGTAGCCAGCTTTAACTGATTTGAGGGAAATTAGAAAGTCTAATGGTAAACAGGTATGTATATTTTTTGATGCTTTTGTTGTGTTGTTTTCTATTGAAACGTTTCACAGAAGTAACTCCTTAAGTTTTTAATGCTGCTGTAATTTCTTCTTCTGTCATGTCAGAAAGACACTTTTCTCGGTTTTGAACAATTCCTCTACAGGGGTTCAGAGATTTGTGCACTGAAACAACAACCTGGGTGGTAACAAACTTCTGGAGACTTAGCAGATTGACAAATTGTTGTCTCCGTGCACATTCGATAAAAAGTGAACCATTTTGGAGACCGGTTACATTTTTCACTCTGAATGCCCTTGAAGACAGCAAAATGATTAAGTTTGAGAGGGTTTCCATCAGTTGATGATATAACTATGAACCTTGGCCAAGAATTAGCAACATCTGGAGAGACATCAACATCAGATGACAAAAGAGTCCACATGACGACGTTTTCAATGAACCAAGAGCTTGGTTTTGAGACATGGCGTTATAATTAAATTCGCCACCCCTGATCCCCACCCGCCATCGAGTGTCAACAAGGACGGTGTTGCCGAGCCATCCAACCTGCAATACCAGGGATACGAGGGTGTTACACTCCAGCAAATACAACATAAAAAGCTATATTTGTCTACCAAATAAAATATGGTTCGGCCCATAACAAGAAATTGGGGACATACAGAATTCGGCGATTGAAATCACCTGATTGGCTTAAGACTTTAGGCAAACATCGTCAAAATAATCTTAACATTCAAAGCCTAAAAAGAATATCACCAAGCAAAATAAAGAAACATGTTGTAAGTCCAGGGCTTGACATGACCAGCCAATTGATAGAACCGGGCCCATTCTACCAACCGTGTAGGTGAAGTTACGGTCAAAGTAATGTGTTGGACAAAGGAGCACAGTTCCAGGACCCAGTGCCCTCAACTACCATACTCCCAACCGCCACCGACACATGGGCGCAACCCAAGGCAAACGGCTTGCCCTATATTGTCGCATATTAAGGCAAGCAATGGGGTGCTGAGGACACATTCTACACCGGGTACCCAAGAGGTGGTATCGTTTGAATCAGTTATGTTGTATATATTTAATAACTAACCAACAAGGTACGAATTATTACAGAAAATATGTCACGAGTGAATCTAAGGTTAAATAACGAATGTCACAGATGATATTGACATTGTTAACCCAGTTGTTCGGGTTTTCGAAAAATTAACTGTCCCAGGTAATTCTTTAAAATTATAATTATGCTTCTGGCATTTGAAAACAATTTGTCTGGCTCAACATAATATATTGTTGCAAGATGTTTCACAAAATAAATTGGCTAACAGTTTTAATTTAATGTCAATGCTCGGTTCCTAAATTTGTTTCGAACTGCAGGTAAACACTGTAAACGTCATACACGCCACATTGAAGTTCCACAAGAATGTTCCGGCTGTAGTTTGAATGTGAAGGATTAATCACCGAGGCTCTTAAAAGTGCAAGGACATCTCCATTCTTGGTTTATTTTCACACGCTAAATGTTCAGAGGAGTTTTTTTTATATTTAAAAAGGGAAAGCACATATTCAGCAATGATATATATTTTTTATCATTCTGTAGAGAATTTGAGACAAGATGTTCGCACAGAGCTGCCCCTTGTCAAAACATGTGTCAGCTATTTACTCAGCATACAGCTTTATCGACAGAGATCCAATCTAATGTTTCTTGGTACTTATAAATCGCTCCTTGAAGTCTCACATACTTGTCCTTTCTGACATCTTTTACAGATTGTGCAATAAACCCCACATAATACCCACGTCACATCTCAATCAATATTGAGATATCCCAGTAAATAAAGGCTGTGATTGCAACGCAAGTCATAATCTATTTTGATATCTGAAGTAGGTTTTGTTTGACGAGCTATAAGCATTAGTTTAGACATATCATGACAGGAGACAAAGTCTAAGGTCTTAAGTCTAAGCTCCTACCCTACTATGGGAATAAGAACGAAATACATAAGGTTGTTAATGTAGCTGTATAATTTTATGATAAGGATAAAAATTACTCACAAGAAGTTTGTGTATGTAAGTGTGGAATGTATTTCAAATTTCCATTGGGACATGTAGTGAAAAGAGATGAAAAGTAAAACTTCTTCATGAGTAAATGTTTAGGATTGAGATAGGACCATCAAAGCTTGGTCCTCTGAATATTCACATTGATCATTTCTACATGTACAATTCTCGAAAATCCCTTTGGCAAGATAATTATTAAAACCACTTAGCAGTGCATTGGCAATAAATCAGAATGCCTTTGGTTGTATATTAAACCCTTGCTGGTACTCTATATAAAGTAAAAACAACACTAAATGCAATCAAACGTGTTGACGTGTTACTTTCATTTGTCATCAACTTGATTTAAATGGAATGTTTCAGTGGTAAATAAGCCGCTATGGTATTACCAATGATACCCTACGTTGAAAGTCTGAAATTTCCTTTGTTTCCTATCGTTGGCCACATTTTCAATGACACCATCTGAGACAGACGTTATGATATTGATTTGCTTTTCTTTGGTTCCCATTGAGTACATTTAGCAGACAACCTGGTTGAGCATCCTTATGAAATACCCAGCGGTTATGATAGCCGTTTGATATCAAATATAGTATCTTAAGAGAGACGAATGAAAAGGCCAAGACGTTTCAACCAGGTATTTCATATATGTAGTGATAGAAGATAAAATGAACAGTATTTGGTGAAATTCAATCGAAACCTATCAAGATATCCTGATCTAGCAAGTGGTCTGTAAATACTCGAATCTTAAATCAGTATTCCTGGCAACCATATAGACCAGTTCTTACGAGAGGCGTGGAACTTGGCTGAATCACCAACTTGCTAATAGCAAGCCAACCAATTACTGATCGATTTTTAAAAATCTTTTTTTTCAAACATGACAACAAGCCAACAGTTACGTATATAATTTAAAAATATACTTCTGGGATGGACGGTGCGTAATTGTACATCTTGATTCGAAGCCCATGTAAATGTTGTGAACAAAAACACTTAACTCAAAGACTCCAGTCTTATCAATGGCTTGTAGTTTTACCGCATAACAAGTATGTTAAGCATGCGAACAGCCCCACGGAAATATTAACTCTATTTGTATTATCTGCAGATTTACTGTTCGATAATGATTTTATTTTCACTTTTGAAACAGACTATAAACCATCATTTAGTATTCACTACTTAGCGAGTGTATTTATATCGTGCGTCTTAAAGACCTGCTCTCTACCCGACGTCACCAATGCAATGGGTTCACAGGACATGGAGCCACTGAGGAAATGTGTCTTTCTCGTAATGACTTTTCTAGGAATGCTAAGAACTGGTAAGTGAAGGTTCGATATCATATATATAGTATGACACAATATTATCGCGGTATCGGTAAATCTCGTAATCCAAACCCCCTGTCGACTGTTTACTTATGCAAATCTAAGCACGATATTTGATTGCGTGGTCGAATACACGACTCGTTGCGGTATGTCACGGCTTCTCGTAAGTATACTCGTTAACTTTTTTATGATAGTTTCTGGAATGATTCTGAAGTGGAATTACCCCTACCTCCATTCGATATTGATTCGAAAAAACCCATTTGTTTAGACGAAGCCCCTTGACCCAACCTAAGTCGTATGTACACTGATCATGTATATTCCAAAACAGGAAGTGACGTAAACCACGTAATCGACACGTATCGCACCACAAAATAGCCACACTGCGATAATATAGAGTTGCCCGCCCTTGAGTCGTAAATGAGTGGTATTTGTTTCCTGAGCTCGGTAAAGAAAATCAGCATCGATTAATCCTAATTGTTGTATCATGAAAGTTGCATAAAGATCAGGAAACATTTTGCGTATGACATAGTTAATGTGTTAGTAAACATTTGCCATTACGATCCATTATAAATTAACTACCACGATAATATGGCGTACCATCCTACATTGAATAATCTTTTAATACGAATTTAGGATAGATATCAATACAGGCTTGACAGATGATGGTATTTTTATCAAGCGAGACAAATTCTATCTTCAATGGCACTTCAACTTTCAAATATTACTTGAAGATATTTTGAGACGGAGTCAATGGGTGTTTGAAGACATGTTGTAGCAATTCTCAGCAATAGGTTGTAAACATAGTTCCACCATGATAATGTAACATAAGTTTCTGTCAAACGTATGTCCTTATCAGGACAGAAGGTGAGGTGAAATTGGGTTTAACGTCGCTTCCAAGATTATTGCACTTATATAGCAACGTGTATGCACGTGTGTGTGTGTGTGTGTGGCTGCTTGTACTAGTCTGGACTGATGCCGATTTATAGTGCTAGCCCACTTAGATACCATGTCGCAGTTTAATATGGATACCCCACTCAGACACAGTACACTGACTCCGAGCCGACCAGTCCTTGTTTTAGCCCCTTAATGCCGAGCGCCAGACAACAAGTACCATCTTTTAACGTCTTTTGGTATGACGCGGCCGGGGATCGAACCCCGGACCTTCCGCTCTCCGGGCGGACGCTCTACCACTAGACCACGGAGGCGGTTCATTACAGAAGGTGCATTTTACGTAATGACATATGTTCTTTATGTGAATGAAAGATGAAGTGTGGATAAGGCACTTATTAGATACGGAAATATTTGAAACTTCGAAATAATGAACATCTAGCAAACGTTTTCGGCTTACAAGATTGCCACCTTCTAAAATGTGGGTAAAACTAATTCTCAAAATGACTAATTTGAGCTTCAAGAGTGAATCCACCTATCAGGGATCTGCGTGACCCAAGATACTTTTTTACCATTGATTGCTTGTACACTTCCTGAATTTATAAAGAGCTCCTAATGTAGCAGCATAAAGGTGAAATCCAAAACTAAAGGACGATGATATTAACATGAACTCGCCCACTGAACGTGATTCACCAGTGGTTTGTATTAGATATTGTTACAATTTGTAATAAATTCGAAAGTATTATTCCTTTTTACCCTGATGTTTCTTTCTGACTGCACGTTCAGTTTAATGTTTTATACCACCGGCAGCTCTATGTGCAAAAAAATGTACTGTTACTGTATATAGTTTATTCAACATGGTGTCAATACCAAACATTCAACGTTGTGCCAATACCTAACATCCCACATGGTGTCATTACTGTCATAGCGACCGATTTGGGACAACCTTTGTCTGAATGAAAAAGCGTCAACCCCCTTGTAGCTATAAAATATATATGTCTAGAATTTTAATTGCCATTACTTATAAGAAGTAAATCCCAATTATAAACCCCATTGTATTGTACAGTCATTGTCAGCCATCCTGAACGAGCTGTGTACTATGTGACTTGTTATGTATTGTTCTATATATTTATGACTTAATCGATGTCAGATGACTTTGGATAGAAAAGCCTTGGTCCAGCGACGAAACAGAGAAGGTCTTACCCTCAGCCTAGCTAGGGTTACGCGAGGTACTCCGGGGCACCAAGACAACAACCACTACCACTAGCTACGATAATAGCGTGAAATGAAGTTACAAACTGTTCTGTGTGGATGCCAATATGTCTCTGGTCTTACCCTCAGCCTAGATAGGGTAAAGCGAGGTACTCAGGGGCACCAAGACAACAACCACTACCACTAGCTACGATAATAGCGTGAAATGAAGTTACAAACTGTTCTGTATGGATGCCAATATGTCTCTGGTCTTACCCTCAGCCTAGCTAGGGTTAGGCGAGGTAATCCGGGGCACCAAGACAACAACCACTATCTCTAGCTACGATACTTGCGTGAAATGAAGTTACAAACTGTTCTGTATGGATGCCAATATGTCTTCACACAATGATTATATAAAAGTCGATTCGTGGAGGTGTTGAGATTATCAGTATTTTACCATTTAATTTTACCTATCGAGACTACTAATTGTCTAGCGTTGTACGGACGTCAACTAGTGGTATTGAGCACATCAAAGATATATTGCCCATTGGTCCATGAGTAGCTACAAGGCATCGATAGTTCGATCAGGCGCTCACAATACCATGCAGGAAATTATGCCCACGTATTGATGGCCCTGATTAGTAACACGGCCACGCATCTGTTTCAGGGAGCAGAGGATTCAGAAAGTTTACCCATAAATCAATACTCCATTATTCAATTATGTATATTTATTTCTTATTAGGGGAGCATTATTACCTTCAGATGATTGATTGTGAATTGTTTCGACATGCCACATCGCCCATTACATTATTTTGTTTAGTGTGTCTCTGAAACCAAACAATACGTTAGTTTGGCGTTTGATATTGATGCTATTCAGTACATGTGTGTACAGAGGCACGGGTGGCCCAGTCGTCTAACGCGCCGCGATTCGCTGTGCAGAGTTGCGTCACTTGGACACGCCAGAAACCTATGATTGTGGATTCGAATCCCGGTTCAGCCGATAATGTTTCTAGGTTTGTCAGCACCATACCCGTGCTCGTGGGTTTCACCGAAGAGGTAAACAGCTGAGACATGCATCACTTCGGGCTTTCCTCCAACATTAAGCTGACACGCCGCGATATAACTGTAATACTGTTATAAGCGGCGTTAAACCCAACTCACTCACTCACACACATGCATACCATACATCTGTCATCTTACCTTAGACATTAAAGTTCAAGTCTCATGGATTTAGGTACAACTTTGCAGAACTGGATAGATCGTAACATCGTTTCTGCAAATATCGTATTCAAAACATCGAGAGGTACATTAATTTGCACCTTAATCCTGCCTATCGATTTCAAAGACTGAAACGAAAATACAGCCGAGGCGGAGACTTTATACATAGAGGCTCCACATATGGTCACTGTTGGATGAGATATCCTCCAAACTCACACGCTTGATCACACAACCAGCATGCCCTCCGTTCGCGTTCATAGTCGGTTGAATACGTTTCGTAAACTCAACATAGCTTTTTACGGATTTTGATATTTCATTCCAAAACGAAAATAGCGCACAGGAGTCGATAAAAAATGACACCGGAGTTCAAACGTGTGCCCGGTGTTTGACGTGCTAAAAATTTCAACGATTGGGCCGGCGTACTGCTACCGCCTCTGATTTGTTAATGCCATTATGGGCCGTTTTCTGTCTGCTCATTTGTTTGATTACCGTGTCCACAACTTATGTCGACTTATATCTTATTACTAACAACATTAGAAGTTGTTTTCAGTTGTCTACTCAGGAGTTTAATTTCTAATATTTTTTTAGAAACCATGTCCCATTGTCACGCAGTATGCGCGAAGTTGAAAAGCATGGTGCAAGGACCAGATGAATTTATGACACCAACTTTCGAAGTAATTTGTGATCATGACCAGTAACAAGATTCTGTAGAATTTCATTTCTCCAAAATGTGTCCCCATTGAGAAGCGAACGGAAAGACGGACGGACGAACTCCGTTCCCATATCCCATGCAACACTTTGGGGTGGGCTATAATCATTTATAAGCAGACGTCAAAGGTGGCGTTAAACAACCTCCTTTAAGACGGAGACCAAGCCAACATAACTTGTGTTTACATTCACAGTAGATGGCTTCAAGAACGTAGCTTTAGGCAAGCCAGCGTCAATGAACGAATATCGAGAGGGAAACCCACCATCGGCAGCAGTGGATGGGGACAACACAACGTTCATCCATCCTCCCAATGGGCCATTGGCTCCTATCAGTTGGTGGGAGGTGGACCTCCTCGGCACCTACTATATCGTCAGCGTCAGTATCACAAACCGAGAGTGTTGTGGTGAGTAGCTTTGGAACCCTACAACAGACTCTTTCAAACACAAGAAGTGACTGCATGTTATCATCTTGGGAGATCTCAGAAGCACATACTCGTAACTCAAATTCTGTCTTTTCTTCAGTGAATCTCATCAACACCATCAATGAAATTCAATTATTATCTTTAATGATAACAGTTCATTTTGCCATTGTATATATCTAGGGATTTATAACAATTTGTTGGAAACGAGTTTGAACATCTAGAGTATATACATTCAAGATAATACAGACCAAAAATACCATTGGTCTTCAATTCATTCCAGATACTCGACTTGGGAACTTTACAATTGACCTAATTTCTGACGACCTGTCCGCCAGCCCGACCACCCGACTGTGTCACTTCTACCCAGGGAGCATTGGAAAGTATGTCACTGAGGTCATTGCTTGTGATGACCTGCTGACCGCACAAAAGGTCAGGGTCACTAAGAAGGGTCATCTTGACTTCAGTGAGGTTTCCATCAAGGCCCTGCCTGCATGTGGAGGTTAGGACGTATATCTGTTTTTTTATTACATCAACTCAATAAATAACCAAAATATTCCCAAGAATTTAAACCTAAAAAAATAAGAAAAGTGTCATTTACTTTCACTTCTACATAGGATGGTATGGGGGGATGGGGGTGGGAGGTTGAGGGGGGGTAGCCATTTGGTTAAAGTGTTCGCTCGTCATGCTGAAACGGGGTTTAACGCCGCGTTTAACATTATCGCTCATATATAGCGACGTACAAGCACGTGGGTGGGTGTGTGTGTGTGTGTGGCTACTTCATATACAGTGCTAGCCCATGAGTGTATGGCTTATTGTACTAGTCCGGACTTTTGCTGCTTTTAAAGTGCTAGCCAACTGAGATGCAATGCCACACCCAGACACATTACAGTGACTCCAACCAGTCCAGTATTATCACATTAATGCCGAACGCCAGGCAGGGTAACAACAAGTGTCATCTTTTAACTTCATGTGGTATCGGGTGGCCCAGAGGCCGAAGTAAGAACCGTCCGCTCACCGACACTCTATCCACTAGACGACGGATGATATTCTTGCCCAATGCACCGCAGTCATGAGGTGTTGTGCTAGAATCCTCTGATATGTTCGAGTCCCAGCTCCACCATGAATATGATCCTTGATATCTTAACACCAGACCTGTCTTTAACTGAAGTAGTTGACATCAACGACGTGCATCATTTCGGGTTTTCCTCTCACATCAAACTGAAATGCTCACTAGAATACTGTTCAAAGCAGTTTTATGTTGAATGTCAAAACCCTGGACCACCCTAAGATGCCCATACCTACTCGTGGGTAGTCAGGTTAGTAGACTTGAAGTGACGTCTTCGTAAGAGAGTGGAATTTTCTTATTTTATTGATTCCATGCTGAATAAAATCATTTTAATGAATATAATTAACTCAGTATTGAGAGAATACACTCTTCAAAAAAAGAAACGCACAGGTAGTTTTTTAGTAAATGTATTATACCTAATAAGGTCGATATATTTAATTTAATATCATAGATACAAATATGAAATATTGGAGCTTCATAGTCACTTGTTGTCGTTGTACAAAGGCATTGAAAACTGTTCATTGTCATGTCACATAAGCCCACAAGGCAGCAATCTCGGCTCTGCATCTCCCTCGGCACTGACTGAATAAGTGTACGAGTTCTGTCCTGTGGAATTCTGCGCCATTCTGCTTGTAACGCGTTGGCCAGTTGTGAGAGTGTCGGCGGCGTGTTCTGACGTTGACGTACACGTCGCTCGAGTTCATTCCAGAGGTGTTCGATTGGGTTGAGATCTGGAGATCTGGCGGTCAATGATTGGAAGAAGGTGAGATTGAAGAATTTGATTCATGCAGCGATTGGCGGTCAAATTTCCCTGAACCACAACCAAGTCAGATCTCGTGGTGTAGGATATGCCCCCCCCCCCCCCCCCCCCCCCCCCCACACACACACACCATGACACTACCGCCACCGAATTTGTCAATGTACACAATATGGGGTAAAACGTTCATTACGACGACGATATACTACACGTTGTCTTCCATCTCGGGGGGCACGGGTGGCCCAGTCGTCTAAGGCGCCGCGATTCGCTGTGCAGAGTCGCGTCCCTTGGCACGCCAGAAACCTATGATTGCGGGTTCGAATCCCGGTTCGCCCCGATTATGTTTCTAGGTTTGTCAGCACCATACCCGTGCTCGTGGGTTTCACCGAAGTGGTAAACGTCTGAGACCTGCATCACTTCGGGCTTTCCTCCCACATTAAGCTGACACGCCGTGATATAACTGGAATACTGTTAAAAGCGGCGTTAAACCCAACTCACTCACTCACTCACTCTTCCATCTCGCCGGTGAAGAAGAAATCGTGATTCATCGCTAAACCACACTCGTCTCCAGTTTTCTCAAATTCCAAGTTTGTAAGATGTGGCACCAACGCATCCTCTTTGGATACGTCCTATGGCGATGTTCCTATCGGCAGCGCCGAGGCTCGGCATTTTCGAACTTGACAATTGAATGACAAATTATTGGCTTATGCTTGCCTTTTTATAGCCACAACCACGAGTTACGAATGCCATAACTTGCACGTGCATTTTGCTTTACTGTTTTCCTCCATGACAATTTTTTAACAAGTGTGAAAACAATGCCGTTTAAGACATTGCAAATCGAAAATGGCTGCGTTTTGACGCACCGTTTGTCCAATATATGGCCACCAACATTTTCCAATAACATATATCCAATTTATATACTGGATTTCTTTAGTAGTCAGGTTAAATTAACTACATACTACCTGCCTTTCCTTTTTTGAAGAGTGTATATTATTCTGCTATGCGTAAGGAAAATTAATCTTTCTTTGATAAATCTAAATACTTTAGAAACAATAATGCAACTTTAATGATGATTTTGTGTTAATATGAACTTTCGTGTCGTTTTACATGCATTGAATAGAAAAGGGACAATCAGGATTTGTAAGGCCAAGAAACACTTGTTAAACTCTCATAGTTGTGTGTTAAGGACATACACATGGCTTTGTATTTATATCTAAGGTTGCATGTTATGTGTTTTATTCTTGAATGCAAATGGCTAACCAGAAATGTGGTAACCTGGTTGACTCAGGTCACATGAAGTTAAATAATCGAACGCACAGAGTCTTGAATCAAATTCGCTCACTCGCTCTCTTCCAGGTTTGCAGTTTACATTGAACCCTGGCATCCGAAGACTGGACACTGCCTTGCGTCAGCTAGTTGTGGATTATACACCAATGTGTGCAATACACTGTCGAGAGGAAATTGACTGCGACGCCTTCCAAACACTGACGTCAGCAACCAATGTGACGTGTCAACTTCTCGTTGGTCAAAATGGGAATACCGTCACTGATAACAATTGGAAATACTATTATTTGGCTGAATGACAATACAGCTTTCATGTTAGGGCACGTTCACGTTTGTGTTTAGATATTCCCTTGGTTTAATTTATGTGTAATGTATTCTGTAATTTAGGTCGTCAGTTTTAAGCTTCAAACTTTCTTGTCAATCGCCCTATTTGTCTTCTTAAACCTCATCCATTATCCTTCCTAATCTGTGCCAGTTAATTGTCATGTCTACCTCTTTAAGTTTGTGTAACTGTATAGCATATGTAACTTCATGTAGTTATGGGGGCGGTCGGGTAGTCTAGTGGTTAAAGCGTTAGCTCGTCACGCCGAAGACCCGGGTTCGATTCCCGACATTGGTACAATGTGTGAAGCCCATTTCTGGTGTCCCCCGCCGTGATATTGCTGGAATAGTGCTAAAAGCGGCGTAAAACCTCACTCACTCACTCTGGTGTCCCCCGCCGTGAAATTGCTGGATATTGCTTAAAGCGGCGTAAAATCAAACTCACTCACTCATGTAGTCATGTATTTTAATTCTGTGTGTTAGGATGTGCCGCTCGGAGCAAACTCTCTTGGATGAACTGTATGTTTCATATCTGCTGCAAACTTCACTCATTGTTGTATTTATCGATGTAGTGTTTAAAGGCTATGTGTTTAATGTTGTCTTTCATTCTAACCAAGAGCTACTTTCCTTGAGAAAACCGGATTGTATAAAAAGACATTTTTTTAAGAACCAACAGCGAATACACTGTCACTATCTGTCTATAGTCAGTGTAGATAATAAACTAGATTTGCTGGTGTCCTACATTATGTTTGAATATCCGTGGTACAATAGGTCTTCAGCAACCCATTCTTGCCGTAAGAGGCGACTAACGAGATCTTTTTCAAAGGACGACAGGGCTCATTTTAACTCACTAGAAATAGGAAAAATAAATATAGGGGAAAAAGACGTGTTCATAAAGAACATTTCCCTGTCAAGTTATTGAGTTATTGCATCAGCAAGTCTGTGACTAGTCTGTGTGTTTCCCCAACTCAAAAGCTTGGGTCAAAGACTTCATTCCCAGTTCTTCATCCCGTGATATGCATAGCCTCCAGTACAAATAAAATCGATGAATAAAAACTTTAATTGATTTTTTTACTTATTTGTTTATATCACACGCATAATCATTCGATCGTCTAATATATGATTTACACAGAAGGGAGTGAAGATCCGGGGGTGTCGTAAGAGGCGACTAACGGGATCGGGTGGTCAGGCTCGCTGACTTTGTTGATGCATGTCATCGTATCCCAATTGTGTAGATCGATGTTCATGATGTCACTCACTGGATTGTCTGGTCCACACTCGATTATTTACAGACCGCTGTCATATCGCTGGAATGTTGTTGAATTCGGCGTTAAACAACAAACAAACAAAATAAACACACAAGAGCTAACTGCATTTTTCACAACTTAACATATTTTACCGATTACAGTGTCTGTCGTCCTCTACAGCTTAGTAACGGCCGATGCAAGTAACATGTACGGCGATTGTCATTTAGGAAACGTTGAGACTGTTTTCGACATGAATTCCGATGTCTTAAATGATATTGTGAGTTTAGGAAATATGGATTTTCTTCAAGATTTCTATGTGAAGACATTGGCCGGTGCCGAGGCGTCTGGCACATTTACGACAGAAGCTATCCTCAAGCTTACCAGAGCCTTCGAAGTCAAATATGAACCACCAAAACTACAACCACAATCCGAGAAAAAGATTTAGAGGACTGTCGTCAATCTAGCAACAAAAAAACACAAATGGGGTGTTACAATGTTCCAATGTAACGCTTGGTCAATTTGCTAAATTTCCCTGTGGCTAATATAAAGGGAAAAGTCAACTTGCAATTTCAAATTTAGTTCGTATGTATACCAAAAGGATATATGAAAATGTAGCTCATTATCTAGACCTCCTTTTCTGCTGGGCCTAACGAAACTTTCTGTGAGCCAAGGGAGATAACTCCAAGATATTTTTCACTCACCTGATCAATGGCCCAGTTCAAACGACATCGTGTTAGGCGTGTGTAAATTGTGTACAGTTTTGTTTACGGACGAAATATCACAAATAAATAGTTTTAGCAAGTCATAATTCACACGCTTAAATATAATTTGTATTATTTCCAGACTGGGCGGGTGAAGTTGGCGGTGGTCACATCAACATGAAAGAAATTACGCCTGAAAACCTATGCATGCAATTAAGGCAGTTTTATGCCAAAGTACAGGACAAAGAACATTTCTCAAAGATCTGGAAAATGACACCCAATCAAGCTGCCGAGTACCACAAAAATCGCTCAAAACTGTGACATCGGCTATAAACCGTCATTTGCGCGACATCGGTAGAGACATTGATCTTGATAGAGTTTAGGCCAGTGTTACGAGTGCCAAAGTGTCTCAGGTGGCAAAAGGAAGGACTCAACTCAGTTTCACTATAAACAATGTTTAATTCTTACCGAAACCTACAATTATTCAATACTTACACAACCACGAATACAATCTGGCAAACTAACATATAAATGGCAAAGCAAAATTGGTGAATACTCAACGTGATACAGAAACTCCATAAATCAGACACAGTCTGGATCCTGGTCACAAACATATTCCGATCACAGTTCGATTAGCCAACAACACATTGTGCACAGAGTCAGTCTAACACAAGTTACACGTCCACTATCCTATCTCTCACAAATGACATGGCCGAATACATCACAAGATTCCACTGGTAGGAATGTAAGTTTGTTTGTTGTTTAACGCCGCACACAGCAATATTCCAGCTATATGACGGCGGTCTGTAAATAAACGAGTCTGCACCAAACAAAAGAGTGATAGATATCATGAGCATCAATCCACGCAATTGAGATCGATGACATGCATCCACCAAGTCTGACCACCCGATCCCGTCAGTCGCCTCTTACGACAAGCAAGTTCTCCTCGCAAGATCGCATAGCAATGATTATAATCCATATTATTATGTTAGGCAACTTTACAGGCGTGCATTATCGTGATGTGAACTTGGCTCTGCAAGCACCAGGCGCCACTTTTTCCAAAATGATACTTCTTGTTTGTACCCACACAGTGTGAGTATGTATTTTCCTGACAGCTTAGGACATACAAGGTCGCTGGATCATCAAATATCTTCAATGTTACCGTTCAATGTGTGTGTTCACGCACACGGTGTTCTCACACGAAATTGTTAATTGTGTTGTTGGAGGTGTTATCTCAGGAAATGCATTAAACATATTATTATGCTTCAGGCATTTGAATAAGATAAATTGTCTGGCACAAAAAATACATTGTTGCAAGATGTTTCGAAAAAATACTTCCACGTTGAAGTTCACGAATCGCCCTGCCCTAGTTTGAATGTGAAGGATTTATCCCCGAAGCTCTTAAATGTGCAAGAACATCTCTGGGTATATTTTCACACACTTAATGTGACACATTAACTGTCTGTTCTCTTTACGAAATGACATTTCAGAGGAGTATATATTTTTTTTTAAAATAGAAAATCCATATTCGCCATTGATATATTCTTATAATTCCATATCCGATTTGAACGTATATGACTAATTGAGACAAGACGTGTGTACAGAGATTTCCCTTGAGGCCAAATCACTTGTCAGCACGCGGTTTAATCGACAGAGATCCAGTTTAATGTGTCTTCGTACTAATAAACCGCCCCTGGCAGTCTTGCATACTCTTCCTTTCTGACATTTTTAACAGGTAGTGTAAAACCAGTCACGTCTTAATATTATTATTGAGATATCGCTCAATGTAGGCTGTGGCAGCAAAACTTCCATTATATGTGATGTAAGATTTGTTCCCGCGCTTTTAGCATTATTTCAGACATATCATGGCGGGGGAAACAAAGCCTAAGGCTCAGGGATGCTCCTACTCTAAATTTGCTATGAGAACAAGAACGAGTTTAATTTTATGTGACTTCAATTTTTCAGATATTAAGGTTGTTACTGTAGTTGTATATGATAACGATGTTAATGACTCATAAGGTGTTTATGTAGTTGTTTTTGTTTTATGTGGTTTGTTGTTTAACGCCGCACTCAGCAATATTCACTGAGATGAATTGTCTCAACTTCCAGCTCAGATGCTGGCTCAGATGGTGGTTCAGATGAACCTTGTGTAAAATTCTGTCGGAGAGGCTGATGATTTGTTTTGTTTGTTGTTTAATGCCGCAATATTCCAGGTATATGACATCGGTCAGTAAATACTCGAGTTTGGACCAGACAATCCAGAGATTGACGTCATGAGCATCGATCCACGCAATTGAGATACGATGCACATGCATCAACCAAGCGGGCAAGCCTGACCACCCGATCCCGTTAGTCGCCTCTTACGACAAGCATAGTCGCCTTTTACAGCAAGCATGGGTTGCTTAAAACCTATTCTACCCCGGATCTTCACGGGTCTGTTCAAGTAATTAGTGTTTAGAGGAGTTGATTACACAATCTCAGTTTTCAGTCTGACAATACTCGTAAAATATAATAAAGGTTGTCCTCAACACAACTGATGCAACATATTGTTGATGTGAATGTCGTCATCATCAATGACTAAGACAAACTGATTAGGTTTTTTCAGATAGGTGTTCCGATTGACCTTGGATACTCGTTGCATGTTTATTTCATGTTCATGTAGTCATTATAATAAAATATCAAATAGAGAGGCACATTCGTGGAATTAATAATCGTGTACATGTATATGCTCAAACAGTTTTTGTCTTCACATTCTCATTTCGGGTACAGTAAACTACGGTTATAACGAACTCAAAGGGGCCACTTATTTTAGTTCGTTATAACCGTAGTTCGTTATAAGCATACGTACAGGATATACACAGCAAATGTCCGGGACCAAAAAACAGTACGTTATATCCGTCAGTTCGTTATAAGCGTGTTCGTTATAAACATAGATTACTGTAAAGGAAAATTATAACGGCCACAAGCGCGAGCCTTCACTTCTGCCCCCTAAGTTTGTACAAACATTCTGGTTTTACTAGATGGGTCCCGTAAAACAAAACCTGGTTTATCAGGGTTGTTTTATGTACTCTAACTAAGGGGAATAACTGATGCAACATATAATAATATAATGAAAGCTTGCTTATCCATTGTTTTTCGTCTCTCTGATGACCAGGATTCAATGATTGTGGTCCCCATGGTGACAACAGCTTTCGTCCCGCACGGAGACTAACATCAACACATGGAGGTCAGGACATTATGTCACCTTCAAGTCAATGTGCTGGAAGGTATATCCTTGCAATGGACTAACTTACCTCAGTCTGACCTGAAACAAAATTGGAGCGCCATTTTTTTCCCATTTAGCTGTTAACATGTATAGATATGTTTGTCCTGTGATGTAGGATGATCAAATCACTATAATGGAAATGTCCTCCTAATGTCTACCATAAAATATTTGGGCGTAAAAAGTCAAATCGCAGTGAAAATGATATGAATGGGTCACTGGAAATCAGCGGTGACACCAGGTGTTCGCGAAAAGTGTACGCATTGGTTGCCGCTCATTCAAAAGAGTAAGTGTCTGTTAGATGCCTGACGCCACACAGAAGTACGCCTGTCATACGATGGCGCCCCGCAACAATCGCGTCTTGACCAGACAATCAAGTGACGAACAAGACAATCCATTGACACTATAGCGCATTTACTGATATTGGTGAAACTAAAAACGATATGATAGTTTTGAATTACGTCTGCGGCCTACAAGTGCAGGAGAACTTCTACTTATAAGTAAAGAAAAACATAAAGGGTTATTATGTTTTGCCACACAGTGGGAGACCGTTTTAATATCTCGACACAAACACGTCTTTTGTTGTTCACTCAGCAAAACTGATAAATGCTGATGATGAAACTCGGGCATTTCAGTCAGCCAGTTTGAAAGGCCGACCCATTTCATGTAAAATTTCTAAAAACGTCAACGTCAGAAAAAAATCAGCCTCGATTATCTGCTAAAACAGATTTCAGGCAAAGCAACAGTAAGAGGCAAAGAGACATTATAACAATGGAAAACTGGAAATCAATGTGAAGTATTGGTATTTCACATCAATAAACTGGACTTTTGGTACAATATTATGGATTCCTTCACGCTTAAATAAATCAGATCGTTTTTAACATCGTTTTCACAAATCCCTGACAACATGTAGAAAAGGTAAGCTTTATGTTAAAGAAAATGTCGTTTGGTATAGAGGTACATTATTGTACATGTTGCAATCATATATAAGTGCACAACGACGACGGCAGTTATCTGCATTTCTCACTAAGTCTCTTGATTACATTGGAAAACATAAAACAAATAACAGTATGCAGATTGTCATAAAGTTTATGATTACACAATATTTCGTAAAAGTCTGTCAGCGGTAGTGACATCATACGGAAATAAACATTGTTGTACATATTTGGTCATTTCTTTGAGGTGAAAACTTTTAACTCGACATCCGGCGGGTACTTTGATTTTATCTAGTTTGCATTATCAACATCGCCTTGATAAACAACAGATATATTGCGTAAACCTTTTAGTGTATGGTCACATTATTTGTGAGTAGTAAGCAGTACGTCGGGTGACGTCAATCATGACCGTTGTGTTATGTATTAATGCGCCACTGCGGTCATGAGAATCAGATAAAATCCATCGTTTCGATGCTAAAAAAGTGCGATTTTAGGATGTATAAGAAACAGATTTACTGCACTCGTGCCTGTCAGATGCCATTTATCAACAAGAGCAGTACCGCGGCATTGTTTGTCAGAACAAAAAAAAACAACATTTCCAGTGAAAGCAAAAACATCTCATTGTTCCATGGTAACTGTATCATCCAACGATGTACCGTTCCGTGATAAGGATTGTCACTAGGTAACCTTTGAAGCTGTGCAGAAAGTCCAATATTGGTATACATCACTTGACAACTCTTTGATGAACATTTACAAGTGGGAAGGACCTGACTACATGACACTTTTGTATGGAGAGCAACTTTTTTTATTCTTCATCACGACGTTTCCGAGCAACTACTTACTCATCCATCATACTGGAAACGTCGAGATAAAGAAAAAAAGATGTTGCTATCCATACAAAAGTGTCATGTGTTCATCACAAGTATGTTTATATCGATTGTGTGTCTAACGTATTGATGCGTTTCTAACAGACGTCACCGATGTATGTTGACGTGTCGACTTCATTGCAGACAGAACATGGAACCACCGAGGACGAGTGTTTTACTTTTAATAACCTATCTAGGAATTCTGGCAAATGGTGAGTAAAAGTTACATAGCTTACCCTTTGAATTACATGTTTTACTAATTTCGGCAAATGTGAATACAGGTGGGAATAATCCGTTATAAAAGATCTGGAAACTTTTTCAAATATTGGAATGACAGCAAGCTGGCCAGTCTTTCCTGCTTTCACTCCAAGTTTACGAGACCCGTGAAAATCCGGGGTAGAATAGGTCTTCAACAACCCGTGCTTGCCGAAGAAGGCGACTATGCTTGTAATAAAAGGCGATTAACGGGATCGACTCCCTGACTTAATTAATGTCATCGATCCCAATTACGTGGATCGATGTTCATGATGCCAATCACTGGATTGTCTGGTCCTCACTCTATTGTTTACAGACCGCAGCCATAAAGCTGGAATATTGCTGAGTGCGGCGTAAAACAACAAACCAACCAACCAACGAAGTTTACGAACTATGGCATAGTAAAATGCAGAAGTATTGATAAAAAGAAGAGTAAAAAGGCTGAAGTTTCAAACTTCACGAGAGCTATGAGGAAGGTGACCCAAGATATTTTCACCATTAATTATGACGTCTTATCTCTTCAGATAATTAGACTATAAATTGTTTCGGACTAGCGCATTGAACGTGAATCACCAGCGTTTTTCGTTTTCTTGGTTCATAATTTGCAAATCTTTTGAAAAAACATTACTTGCTCTTGTGTTTTTCACATTTGTCCGAAACTCACGTTCAGTTAAGAGTATTTTATTTCCTTTAATGATGCAGCTTCCGCCAAACATGAACAGATTGTAACGTAATACTACCATATCTGACGAATTTCTATTAAGTCGCATTACGAAATCGAGGATGCTATTGAAGGCTCATAGAAGCGGGGGATGTTTGCATCTTTAATACTCTCTACCAGTTTGAGATGTTTCCATTTTGATATTGTTATATAACAAAGATGGTGATAGCTGAGTGTTAAAATTGATAGTGACATTATATAAAACCGAGGTTAATTCGGACCCCAATAATAATAAGCATGCGTCTTTTGAATCATTATCAAATAGCGACTATACCAGGTATTCGCGAAAAGGTAAGCGTAACCTGCCCCACCGGGGGTACCCGTCGCGCTTACCACGTCGAATCCCCGGGTTTAACGTCATACATAGATACAATGTGTGAAGCCCATTTCTTCGTGTTCCCCATCGTGATATTGCTGGAATATTGCTAAAAGCGGCGTAAAACCATACTCACTCACTCAGTCGCAATAAAACCTTTTGAAAGCTTTACTGATGCCTTGAACGATGTAACCTGAATCATACAACTTCTGAACAAGAGTCGTATGACGCTCTGTGAAATCCTGGTAGAAAGAACATGCTCCATTGTACCGCAAAAGTTGTTGAATGGAGACACCAAAGGCTGGAGCTGCGGGAATATTGCTCTTCATGAAGGGAAAGTTGTCTCTTGGAAAGTTGAAGTCATCCCTCGTGTCACATGGTATTGTGGAGAGTTTTTTGTCACTTTGAATCTTTTTGCACAGGTCGTAATGTGTAACAAACGAGGCAGTATCGCTGGTCTCGTTTGTTTCTAGTTCAGGTGGGTAATTTAGTGGAAGGGAATTTGTAATTTGGCCGTTATCGAACAATATCAGATCATCGATATAACTGAAGCTTAAATTAAATTTCATGGACAAATTCCCCTGTTTTCACTTTGCCAATCCGAGCAGAAATTCCAACTCTGATGCAAAAAGACACAGATCAACAAGAAGGGGGCACAAATGGTACTCATGGGGCTACCTACTTCTTGTCTAAATGTCTTGTGAACATCTGTTTACAAATGTATTTAACTCATGTGATTGAATGGTTTACATTTGGCAGCATTTTAGTGTGCAAATTATATGAAATTTGTTCTGAAAGGTTGTAACACGCTGGGCATGTGATACTAACATTATGTTTCTTTCAACTGTACCATGGACGAAGTAAACTTGATAGATTGAATACGTCTCTTCAAACAAGATGTTAGTTGGATAAAAAATGAAATGGTACTTTATAAGAGGTGTTGAGTGTATCAATATTTAATACTTTCATTGTATCCATCGAATCTACAGGTCGCCTCTCATTGTTTGTTTGTTTGTTGTTTAACGCCGCACTCAGCAATATTCCAGCTGTATGACGGCGGTCTGTAAATAATCGAGTCTGGATCTGAAAATCCAGTGACAGACATCATGAGCATCGATGCACGTAATTCGGATACGATGACATGCATCAACGAAGTCAGCGAGCCTGACCACCCGATCCCGTTAGTTGCCTCTTACGACTAGCATAGTCGCCTTTTACGGCAAACCAGCCAACCAACCAAAACGTCCACATCTACGACCTGTGTCGCTATCTCCAAGATGCGATAAATATTATTGAAATACTGAAAACCTAACTCACCTTTATTTAAATTCACAGTTGATGGCTTCAGAAACGTCGCTTTAGGCAAGCCAGCGTCGATGAACGCATATCGAAATAGAAACCCACCATCGGCGGCAGTGGATGGGAACTACACAACCTTCATCCATCCACCCGGTAGTCGAGTGGACCCCATCAGTTGGTGGGAGGTGGACCTCCTCGACACCTACTACATCGTCAGCGTCAGTATCACAAACCGAGAGTGCTGTGGTGAGTAGCTTTGGTAACGTATATGTACAGCGTACTGACATTTTAGAAGGGCATAACTCAAAACTACTATCCTTTCCTTGACGATTTTAAAGTGCAATGGAGTTGGCAGAAGATTGATTCCTTACGATTTCTAAATTAAAATTGAATCAAATATCAAAATTCGTGTTCCCCCTAGCAGTTTGTTGTGTTTGAGAAACCCTGGAGTAAAAGGTTTGAAAGGGAAAGCTTATTTGAGGTGTGACTTTCTATTGACCTTAATATGTATTTATAAACCTATTCATTGGGATCGCTATTAAGTAAGAGACTTCTTTCTATAGGCATTAAAACCTATTGTGAGGTTTCACTTTCCAGTCGGGTTAATTCTCATAAACAGGGACGTTGTAATGTCCCTGGCGTGTTTTCTCCAATACTTAAACATACCGGCCATTATCGGTTGTGCACAGAAAATTAATAAAGCGATAAAGGAAATCTCACCAAAATCTTCATTGAAATTCGGTTATCTAAAAACTTTAATACCACTACTTTTCGCGCTTGCATATATATAGGATTTATAACGAATTAATTGCAAGGAGTCTGAACATCGAGTAAAGTAAAATAATAAACCATTGATTTAAATTCATCACAGATAATCGTCTAAGGAACTTTACAATTGACTTAATGTCTGACGCCCTGTCCGCAAGCCCGACCACCCGACTGTGCCACTTCTACCCAGGTACAATTAGAAAGTCTGTCACTGAGATCATTGCATGTGATGACGTGCTGACCGCACGGAAGGTCAGGGTCTCCATGGAGGACCGTCCTCTGGACTTTAGTGAGGTTTCCATCAAGGGCCTACATGCGTGTGGAGGTGAGATCGTTTATCTACTTTATACATTACCAAGTTAAGTTATAATCATAATATTCTCAGCTCGAGGTTATGTTCTAAAAAGAAAAATACAAAATAAGACAATAGTGTCCTTTACTTCTATCATCTCCGCATTTGGGGGCTGTGAGGTAGCCAAGTGGTTCAAGTGTTCGCTCTTCAAGCCGAAGTAAGGTGAGGTGAATAGGGTTTAGCGTCGCATTCAAGATTATTGCACTTACTTATCGACGTGTGTGCCTGAGCGATAGCCAAGTGAGATACCATGCCGCAGTTTAACATGGACACCCCACTGAGACACATTGCGGTGAACCGATCAGTCCTTATTTTATCTCCTTAATGCCGAACGCTAGCCAAGGTAACAACAAGTACTCATACCAACGTCGACCAATGAGGCGACCAATGGGTCGAACCACGTACCTTCCGCTCCCCGTATAGATGCTCTATCCACTAGAAGACGTTAGCGGCTCGTCATGCAGAAGGCATGGGGTACGTGGAACCCCCTCGTGGGGAATATGTTACGGCCAGTGTTGGTGCACTCCGCGTTGATGGAACCTACTGAAAGTGGCTTGCAAACGAAACTATTGGTAAAGGATAGGCACGGGTGACACTGTTGCCCAAGGCATAGAAATTGAGACTTGTTGTACCAGGATCCGCTGATATGTTCGAATCCCAACTTCACCCAGATTATGATCCTTGGCTTCTCAATACCAGGTCTGCATGTCATGGTGGGTTTAACCAAAGTGGTAAACATTTATGCATTAAACCATTACCTCGGGCTTTCCTCTCACGCCAAACTGAAATACTCACTCTCTTCCAGGTTTGCAGTTTACATTGAATGCTGGCATCCGAAGACTGGACACTGCCTTGCGTCAGCTAAACGTGGATTCTACGGCGACGTGTGCAGTACGCTGTCGAACGGAAATAGATTGCGACGCATTCCAAACACTGACGTCAGCCCTCGGTGTGACGTGTCAACTTCTCGTTGGCCAAAATGGGAATACCGTCACTGATAACACTTGGAAATACTATAGTTTTATTGTATGACCATCTTTCCGTTGCAAATGACGCATGTTATTTAATTTCTTTAATAATATGAAACAGACGATTGTCTACCAAAACCCCAACGTCCCATAACCCCTAAACCCCAATACAGCTAATTAACCTATGGGAGTCGGTAAACAGTGGAGAAGGAATACGCCGAGGTGAACAATCATATTATCTATTGGATGTGATCAAAGATACTTATGTACTCCAAGGCGAAATGAAGAGATACCATCAAAATCAGGACATATTATGTCCCCTGCCTTCACACCCAAACCGCAATACTGGACAATGTACACAGCTTCAGTGCCTGTTACCCTCCATGAGACCACGTGGTTCACATTTTTGCAGATGGTCAGGACAGAGGCTTTGTGAGTTGGGTTTGCTCTTTTTAAACTTTGTAAGGAGAAGAAAGAATGGTAGTTATAGGATATATTTACCAAGTGAATGACACATGTGAAATATTTATAATGTCTATTAACAGTACAATCATATTATTTATATGTTCTATTCTGCATTAAGTGTACTGAATGTTAAATTGAATGTTTTCATATAATTGGCATATGTATTTATTTTTGTACATTGAATTCGTTTGATATTTTCATTTCATACAGAAACAGTAACACTATACCCAGTCTATTCTTGATAACAGCACAATACGAAATGACAGTACGTGACGGAAAGGTGTTAAATATTTTGCTTGTAATTAAGCACGGTAAAAGATTAATATGTACATCGTTTGCAAACGCTTAAATATTATCAAAATAAAGTTGAGTACACACACAAAAGATTTGTAGACTTAAGATATGAAGTGCAGTTACGCAAACAAAATGTTCACATATCAACAAAATATCACTCTTTATGTGACAATCACAATTCATTGCGCTGAGGAATAAAGTAATTAAAGCTAATTAATCCATGAGAGTAGGGTAAAGTGGTGAAGAAATAAAAAGTTTCTGAGATTTAGTCAAAGAAATGGCAAACATTATCATGGCTGGTTTGACAAGTGTCGAGCTTTTAATGCCACTTCGTTAAATCAAAATTGTTCTTTGTTGTCGAATGTGCTTGTCATATATTGTAAAATATTTTGTCATAAACGTACCTCGATAAATTATTATCTCCTTACAACTTGGTTCACTGTTTCGGTTAATCCATTTAATTAAAAAGGTAACAGACAGGTGATTAGCTGTGAATTCAACTGTGAACCTGTTACAAGCTGTAGGGGTTATGGGATGTAGGGGTTTAGTGACGATACCGAACAGATGAAAAGGATGATGGAGGTCCATCTGATGACGTTATTTGAAAGCGTGCTCGGATTTCTGAGTGTGTTGATGATAAGATGACTGAGATTGATTTGGATCCCATTTCTGATTCTGACACACAATCGATATAAACATACTTGTGATGAATACATGACACTTTTTTATGGATAGCAACATCTTTTATTCTTTATTACCGGTAGAAAAGGTCTTCAGCAACCCATGCTTGCCGTAAAAGGTGACTATGCTTGTCATAAAAGGCGACTAATGGGATCGGGTGGTCAGGCTCGTTGACTTGGTTGATACATGTCATCGATCCCAATTGCGTGGATCGATGTTCATGGTATCAATCACTGGATTGTCTGGTCCAGACTCGATTATTTACAGACCGCCGTCATATAGCTGTAATATTGCTGAGTGTGGCGTTAAACAACAAACCGACCAACCTATCAACGTCGTTTCCAGGATGATGGATGAGTAAGTGGTTGCTCGGAAACGTCGTGATGAAAAATTAAAAAAGTTGCTCTCCATACAAAAGTGTCATGTAGTCAGGTCCTTCCCACTTGCAAATGTTCATCAAAGAGTTGTCAAGTGATGTATACAAATATTGGACTTTCTGCACAGCTTCAAAGGTTACCTATTGACAATCCTTATCACGGAATGGTACATCGTAAGATGATACAGTTACCATGGAACAATGAGATGTTTTTGCTTTCACTGGAAATGTTTGTATTTTGTTCTGACAAACAATGCCGCGGTGCTGCTCTTGTTGATAAATGGCATCTGACAGGCACGAGTGCAGTATATCTGTTTCTCATACGCCCTAAAATCGCACATTTATAGCATTGAAACGATGGATTTTGTCTGATTCTCATGATCGCTCATGATATTAATCACTGGATTGTCTGGTCCAGACTCGATTATTTACAGACCGCCGGCATATAGCTGGAATATTGCTGAGTGCGGCGTTAAACAACAAACCAACCAACCAACCATGTAAGTAATCAGAAACTTTATGACGATCTGCATACTGTTATTTGTTTTATGTTTTCCAATGTAACAGATAACTGCCGTCGTCGTTGTGCACTTACATATGATTGCAACAAGTACAATAATGTACCTCTATACCAAACGACATTTTCTTTAACATCAAGCTTACCTTTTCTGCATGTTGTCAGGGATTTGTGAAAACGATGTTAAAAAACGATCTGATTTATATAAGCGTGAAGGAATCAATAATATTGTATTAAAAGTCCAGTTTATTGATGTGAAATACCAATGCTTCACATTGATTTCCAGTTTTCCATTGTTATAATGTCGCAGCTTGTTTTGCTTGTTACGCCCAATGAAATCTGTTTTAGCAGATAATCGAGGCTGATTTTTTTCTGACGTTGACGTTTTTAGAAATTTAACTTGAAAGGGGTCGGCCTTTCAACTGGCTGACTAAAATGCCCGAGTTTCATCATCAGCATTTATCAGTTTTGCTGAGTGAACAACAAAAGACGTGTTTGTGTCGATATATTGAAACGGTCTCCCACTGTGTGGCAAAACATAATAACCCTTTATGTTTTTCTTTACTTATAAGTAGAAGTTCTCCTGCACTTGTAGGCTGCAGACGTAATTCAAAACTATCATATCGTTTTTAGTTTCACTAATATCAGTAAATGCGCTATAGTGTCAATGGATTGTCTGGTTCGTCACTTGATTGTCTGGTCAAGACGCGATTGTTAACAGGTCGCCATCGTATGACAGGCGTATACTGTGTGGCGTCAGGCATCCAACAGACACTTACTCTTTTGTATGAGCGGCAACCAATGCGTACACTTTTCGCGAACACCTGGTGTCACCGCTGATTTCCAGTGACCCATTCATATCATTTTCACTGCGATTTGACTTTTTACGCCCAAATATTTTATGGTAGACATTAGGAGGATATTTCCATTATAGTGATTTGATCATCCTACATCACAGGACAAACATATCTATACATGTTAACAGCTAAATGGGAAAAAATTGGCGCTCCAATTTTGTTTCAGGTCAGACTGAGGTAAGTAAGTCCCCTGCAAGGATATTCCTTCAAGCACATTGATTTGAAGGTGACATAATGTCCTGACCTCCATGTACTGATGTTAGTCTCCGTGCGGGACAGAAGCTATTGTCACCATGGGGACCACAATCATTGAATCCTGGTCATCAGAGAGACGAAAAACAATGGATAAGCAAGCTTTCATTATATTATTATATGTTGCATCAATTATTCCCCTTAGTTAGAGTACATAAAACAACCCTGATAAACCAGTTTTTGTTTTACGGGACCCATCTAGTAGAACCAGAATGTTTGTACAAACTTAGGGGGCAGAAGTGAACGATCGCGCTTGTGGCCGTTATAATTTTCCTTTACAGTAATCTATGTTTATAACTAACTGACGGATATAACTTACTGTATTTTGGTCCCGGGCATTTGCTGTGTATATCCTGTATATATGCTTATAACGAACTACAATTATAACGAACTAAAATAAGTGGCCCCTTTGAGTTCGTTATAACCGTAGTTTACTGTACTCGAAATGAGAATGTGAAGACAAAAACTGTTTAAGCATATACATGTACACGATTATTAATTCAAAGAATGTGCCTCTCTATTTGATATTTTATTATAATGACTACATGAACATGAAAAAAAACCATGTAACGAGTATCCAAGGCCAATCGGAACACCTATCTGAAAAAACATAATCAGTTTGTCTTAGTCATTGATGATGACGACAATCACATCAACAATATGTTGCATCAGTTATGTTGAGAACAACCTTTATTATATTTTACGAGTAATGTCAGACTGAAAACTGAGATTGTGTAATCAACTCCTGTAAACACTAATTATTTGAACAGACCCGTGAAGATCCGGTGTAGAATAGGTTTTAAGCAACCCATGCTTGCTGTAAAAGGCGACTATGCTTGCAGTAAGAGGCAACTAACAGGATCGGTAGGTCAGGCTCGCCCGCTTGGTTGATGCATGTCAACGTAACTCAATTGCGTGGATCGATGCTCATGACGTCAATCTCTGGATTGTCTGGTCCAGACTCGTGTATTTACAGACCGCCGTCATATACCTGGAATATTGCGGCGTTAAACAACAAACAAAACAAATCATCAGCCTCTCAGACAGAATTTTACACAAGGTTCATCTGAACCACCATCTGAGTCAGCATCTGAGCAAGAAGTTGAGACAATTCACCTCAGTGAATATTGCTGAATGCGGCGTTAAACAACAAACCACATAAAAAAAACAAAACATAAACACCTTATGAGTCATAAACATCGTTATCATATACAGCTACAGTAACAACCTTAATATCTGAAAAATTGAAGTCACATAAAATTAAACTCGTTCTTGTTCTCATAGCAAATTTAGAGTAGGAGCATCCCTGAGCCTTAGGCTTTATTTCCCCCGCCATGATATGTCTGAAATAATGCTAAAAGCGCGGGAACAAATCTTACATCACATATAATGGATAATGAATAGTTTTGCTGCCACAGCCTACATTGAACGATATCTCAATATTAATATTAAGACGTGACTGGTTTTACACTACCTGTTAAAAATGTCAGAGAGGAAGAGTATGCAAGACTGCCAGGGGCGGTTTATTAGTACGAAGACACATTAAACTGGATCTCTGTCGATTAAACCGTGTGCTGACTAGTGATTTGGCCTCAAGGGAAATCTCTGTACAAACGTCTTGTTTCAATTATTCAAATACGTTCAAATCGGATATGGAATTATAAAAATATATCAATGGCGAATATGGATTTTCTGGGGTTTTAAAAATATATACTCCTCTGAAATGTCATTTCGTAAAGAGAACAGACAGTTAATGCGTCACATTTAGTGTGTGAAAATATACCCAGAATGGAGATGTTCTTGCACATTTAAGAGCTTCGGGGATAAATCCTTCACATTCAAACAAGGGCAGGGCGATTCGTGAACTTCAACGTGGAAGTATTTTTAAAACATCTTGCAACAATGTATTTTTTGTGCCAGACAATTTATCTTTTTCAAATGCCTGAAGCATAATAATATGTTTAATGCATTTCCTGAGATAACACCTCCAACAACACGATTAACAATTTCGTGTGAGAACACCGTGTGCGTGAACACACACATTGAACGGTAACATTGAAGACATTTGATGATCCGGCGACCTTGTATGTCCTAAGCTGTCAGGAAAATACATACTCACACTGTGTGGGTACAAACAAGAAGTATCATGTTGGAAAAAGTGGCGCCTGGTGCTTGCAGAGCCAAGTTCACATCACGATAATGCACGCTTGTAAAGTTGCCTAACATGATAATATCGACAATAATCATTTCTACCGATCTTGCCAAGAGAACTTGCTTGTCGTAAGAGGCGACTAACGGATCGGGTTGGTCAGACTCGCTGACTTGGTGGATGCATGTCACCGACCTCAATTGCGTGGATTGATGCTCATGATATCTATCACTTGATTGTCTGGTCCAGATTCGATTATTTACAGACCTTCTTTGATAGGCATTTAGAAGTTGGAGTACTAAGTAAGGATAAGAATTTATGGATGAACAACTTCTTTATTACAATTAAGAGCGACGTTTCGGTGTAGGTTCTAACACCTTTATCAAGCAAGTTATTTACAGAGTGTGGTAGGCAAGTATATATACAAGTAGGAGGCAATGTTTATACAGTAGAGTAGATATTGTTATACTGGGGTAGAGAAGCCTGTTGTGTACACACAAGGGCAGTGATGACAATCATCGGTGAAGTCAGTGCCAAAAACAAAGGATGAAGCCAGTAATATAAACAACGGGATTATGGCTGATTGGGGTCTTTGATGAGTTGATGGTACGCCGGGGGTATGTAATAGCCGTCGCTCTTAATTGTAATAAAGAAGTTGTTCATCCATAAATTCTTATCCTTACTTATTTACAGACCGCCGTCATAGACCTGGAATATTGCTGTGTGCGGCGTTAAACAACAAACAAACAAAATAAACACACAAGAGCTAACTGCATTTTTCACAACTAAACATATTTTACCGACTAGAGTGTCTGTCGTCTGGATCTAAACAAACTACTCCAAATAAGCGATAAATCTACTATATTCCTAGTTGACTTTAGCGCTCACCATCCTACATGGAGCATAGATGATAAAATAGATA